ATAATGTAATGATTAATTTGTTTTATAATTTAATTCGCTTTGTCTGATTAATTTTAGAGTAATAATTTATTATTTTGATTTGTGATCATTGATTTATTTTATTGAAATTGTAATTAGGTACAATTCTTAATACTATTTAATTATATTCCAAATACTTAATTTTTGAAAATTGAAAAGTTAAATTGTAAAATAACACGTTTAGTTATTATAAAAGACACATGCTGTTGGGTTATGCTCAGAATCGAATAACTTGTTAATACTATTTGTAATGAAATTGATTGTAATCTGTTATGTGTCGTAAATAAATAAATAAAATAAATATAGAAACTACCCGGACAGTGTACTTTAGTTATTTTCACAGTATCATGTCCTATGGCATTATATTGTGGGGAACGGCAGCCGATATTCAGTCTATATTTGTTTTACAGAAAAGGGCAATAAGATCTATCTATCAGTTGGGCTCGCGAATATCTCTTAGAGGGAAATTTAAAGAAATTGGTATATTGGCGGTTGCGTCTCAATTTATATACTGTTGTATACTTTTTGTCCGGAACAATATTAATGTGTATACCAAGCATAGTGATGTACACAAACTTGACACTAGAAATAAAAACAAGCTAGTAATGCCTTCTTAAAGGTTACAGAAGGTATTAGGTTCTTTCATGAGTCAACCTAACTATACTATAGTTTAACAAGATCCCCAGTGATGTATTAGATTTACCAATAAATCATTTTAAAAGTCATATTAAAAATTGTCTACAAAGTAAAGGCTATTATAATGTTAAGGAATATCCAAATGACAAAAAGGTATGGTGTTAGATATTTTAACTTTATTGTATTCAAATTTCTAATATTGTAACGGAAATGTCTCCGGCCCGGGCTTCCGGGAAGGCCGTTAGCCCTGGTTGCATCTGCAGTCGCTAACACCGAGCAATCCGCATTGAGCCCGCGTGGTGGTCCATGACCCATTCCTCCTATTCGATTCCATTCATAGAGAGAGAAGACTGTAATCCAGGAATGAGGGATATTAATAGACTGATAACGATACACCGACAAACCCTCGCGAAAGTTACTCGAATTCTGACCGACACACGCACACTGCACCATCGAGTTCGACAAAGAGTAAATTAAAAGGAATTTGGTGGGCGTTTTAAAAGTTTAGGAACCACTGATTCCCACTATTATACGCATGCTAATGTTCCATTATTTTTAAGAATAAAAAAACAATTGACTGTTGTTTAAACACAATATATTATTAAAAAAGAAAACAATACAATATATAAGAACAATATTGTAGAATCATCAACTTTTACAAACAGTATAGCGGCATACACGGCGGCGCCACGTACCACAAACTCGAATCTCCGATATCTCAATAATTTTCTCAGGAAATCTATAGTTTCATAAATGATTAAAGATTAATTTGAGTTTCTTTATAGTACTTTTTATTCTGAATTATTTATACTTTAATATTCATGTTTATCTTTAAGACTTGCCATGAGAAAGAGACATGTAACTATTTCAATTAAAATAAACGTATTTAATAAATTTCATATATGACGTTATCCAACACCCGAGTAAATTTCAACTTAAAAATCGTCACATACGAATTAAAAACAAATTTTTGTTGTACACACTGTAAATTAGTCAGCAAAATAGTCTCTATTCCTATAGTATAAGAGTCGAGTTTGTCGCGCGCGGCAGCCGTCACACACCACACACATCACCCGATATACTTCAGACGACATTATCCAAACTCACTACAAAAAGCTGACATTATTCAAACGGCAAATATGAAACGTGCGTAGATCAAGAAGATTCAAACAGCTACGTTACGAAGCCGACCATTACTAGTGTCTAACCATCAATCGCTTATCGTCTAAAGTATATTTCACATTTTACACATCTAGCTCTATTTATTTGTAAAAAAAATAATCGCCATCGATGACCGTTACTCTAGATAAGACACTGACGAAACGTTTACAATAAAACATGAGTGATCAGTTCGCGTTATTATTCATAATGTTTTTTGTAAGTATTTCGTCAATGGCAACTCAGGTTTAGTTAGTCCATTACACGCCTCAGCATCGCCACTGCATTTATAGTGATCGATATCAGTTTTATTTTTAAACCGGTACATATAATAGTGCACAAAATTATAATAATATTCAGTACATGTTTACAGTGTTATTAATACACAAAGTTTAGAGTTGGAGTGAATTTACGCTGAGACTGCATTTAGTATTAGTCAGAATTCATATAATCACAAAGAGACTTGGCAAAGGTTTAACTTAGTTGGAAATTCTACAGAAGTAATATATACTCCTAGAAGGTAGTAGGTTTGCTTATTCTCTGTATAATATGAATTTGGACTTTAAGTAAAATTGCAATTATAGCGTTAATTTACTCTGATGCTTAACTTTGTTTATTGATAGCACTGCTAGGCTTCGGTTGTAAGATTTTGAAATTAAGTCGTATGATACATATGAATGAGTATGATTTGAACTTTATGGCTAGTATGGAACTTTGATAAATATTTTCAGTGCACAATAAATCGGCAGCTTGGTTCTGTATTTAAATACAGTGTCGAACTCGACGTCAAGCGCAGCGTTATCGCAGCATAGAGGTTCGATCAAACAAAGCAAACTTCAAAAGGTACTAAAGGTTTTAATTGCTTGATAAAACTATGCCACAGCGCTGCGCTCGACGTCGATTTCGAGTAAGAAAATTTGCACATCACATCAACTCAATGCAAACTTCATTTATATTTGAAGCATTGAAATACAACTGTAAATCATAGTGTATACGATGGCATTTCATCAAGCATTTAATAAACGCATTTAGCATAACTAGATATTGAATACCACCGTAAAACAACAATACATAAAGCTCACATTTCAATGCTTCACTTGTGAAGTGTGAAATAAGTCTTTAAATGTGTAAATATCCATTTTACGATAAGAAAAAGTTACAGACATTTCCAAAATATATTAGTTGACAATCGGCATTTGCATTTAGTAACTAACCACATACAATCGGATAAAGAACCATACACATTGGACATTTGTCATATTTATAAAAAACAAAAATTAAAAACTAAATACGTAGAATATCGAAATTGACATTTATTTGACAATTTTAGGAGTATTAGGTATATTATAAATATTTCTAGAGAAACATAAATCAAACTACTTATTTTATAGCTAGAGAATAAACGAAAATAAGTAAAATGATAATATAAATTGGACATCACATGAATTGATCTGATCCTGAGGTAAATAGGTAAAGCACTCGATAAATATATCGACAATTATTATTAAAAAAAAGAGAATAAAAACAGTTCCACAAAAGCTGACAGCACAGACATTGTTCATTATAAAAAAAAATAACAGGACTAATGACATAATATTATAAATATGACAATTTATTTTATTATTCACATAACAACATATTGGGTTGCCTTAAAATGTCAAAATATCAGAAAACCTATTTTGAACTAATAACATATTATTAAGGTATACATTGGATTGGAGAAATTTGACACTCGAGTAGACCAGAGGCGATGTTATATTATCACCGTGAACAGTGGACTCACTTGTATTATTACCTAAAACCTCCGCCTAAAGGGAGCTCAGTTTAATTTCGATTTCACTTTATTTCACAGTTCACCAAGTATATTCTCTAGTATTTGTAAATCGTGGTCACCCTACTATACCGTTTACACTTTAATGTACAGTGGCGAGATAACTTGGCTCTCTGTCGAGTTATCTGTCGCTCAAATGGCAATAAGCACTCGCCTGAGACTAATATTATGTCGTCATTGTACTTATTTGGAGTATAAGTATGTTTATATATAGAGTGTATATGTATATATGTAAAATGCAGTGGCGACGTGCGGTAACAACTCTCCCATATATCTTTATATTAAAAAATCTGCGGGCACCGACGCTCGGTCTCAAATATTTAAACTATTACATTAGAGTGCATTCATTATTCGATACCACACAGGACAGCACTAAAGAGCATCGTTCCGGAAATATAGACACTTCATCGATATTACAATTCCTATTAAAAAATAACGTTATATAGATAAAAAATATAATTAAAAAAAAAAACTAACTCGATAGCGCTATCCGTCGCAATCGATACATTAAAAAAACCCAACTGTTAAAACATTGCATTACATAAACTAGACGAACAGCAGATCGTTTTGTATCACAACGCGCACAGTGCCCAATTCGTTACAATATTATTTAATATATCTATAATATAATCTATAGTTTATACGCAGACAATATACAATAACTCGATTCGCGAGTCCATCACGGCGCACTCACTACAAACGAGGTTCACGTAGACATCATGACGTCACAACGAGCGTCCGTTCCGCGGAGCACTTTAAATATCATCATGTATCGAGTCACTTTTCATAAAACGGCCCGACGACACGTCGAGAACGAGACACGTCCTTATATAAAAACGTTCGACACACACCCTACTAGGAGGCTTAGAAAAACATCGATTCGTCGGGAACGCGGGGACGCTCCGTCGACCGGACCTTACGCGATGCAGAATTACAATTATCGATCATATAAACCGTGCCGTTCTGACTCGGGAAGTTCTGATACCAATAAATAGAGGTCAGGTAAATACGAGTAAGTACACACGATATGAACAAAACGAGGGATCGATACAGAAACGTTTAGGGAGTTTTCAAAGTCAAAACGACAGAGTTTCATCACAATATGAACGCTCAACGCCGGCGCGCGTCCGGCCACCGCTCGCTCGCTCGAGCGGGCGCAGCGTCGATCGCGACGAGTCCGAATCGTTGCGTTTCCACGGCTGGGCGTCGTCGAATAATCGTCACCGATAGATAAGGCATCCGATGTGCGTTACAATATTTAGCATTAAAATTGATCGATAATTATTTACATAGGTTCCCCGACACGGCGTCCGCTTCCGTCGAGCCATCGATCGAGATGCAGATTTACGTCAACCGGTCAGCGGCGCAGCAGCGCGGCGAGGTCGGCGAAGGCGCAGGCGCCCAGCCCCGCGGCCGCCATGCGCTGCAGCAGCGCGCGCGAGTGCGCCGCGCACTGCTCCACCGGCGACCGCCACTGCATGCCCTGCGCCTCTGCACAGCAATTCACGTCAATTATCATCGCGAGCGACGGTAGTGGGGCCTGACCCCGCGGGTGCCTCCCGTCTGGTGTCTTTAAAGCATCGCTAAAGGCGAATCTTAGAATTGCATACAAACAATAAAAGAGATGCACGATGCTGACGTGTTGTCGTAGAGCACAAATGTTATTTTGACCTTTGCAGCCTATGCATTAGATAATAAATTGCAACAACAAATAGTCTTCACAATATTTCATAAATTTAAAATTTAAGTAGGTCACTTCAAAGTGGAAACTATTTTGTTACGAAAACTCTTTTACTGAAAAAGAATATATCACTTGACAATTCATGTCAAATATTTTCTCGGCATTTTCCGTAGGTGTTTTCCTAATTAATTTACACTACAATGCCCCGAAATTTATCCATTAACGAAAGAGCACAAGTAATAATCGCATTACACAATGATGGTTTGAATATTAGTGAGGTTTCTAGAGAATTAAATGTGTCTGTAAGTATTATTATGTCTGACGTTAGTTTAATGTAAAATCTCAGACCAAGTCCGAGTGTAAAATTTTTTTTTTTTTTTCTGTTCATATTTTATTTTTGATTATAGAGACAAGCTGTCCGTCTTTGGATAAGACGAGAAAGCGAGGAGGGGAATTTGAACGCTCGGAGTCGTAGCGGTCGTAGACCTGAAATATCAGATACTCAGCGAGTCTTCATGAGACGGAGTTATGAGGAATCTGGCTTTATACCAACGCATTATTTTGCCGACATATTTGACGTGACTCTCCAAACCATTAGAAACCATTTACATTACATGGGCTTACATCACAGGCGTTATGCAAAGAAAATTTATATGACTGACGCTCATAGAATGGCCAGATTAAATTTCGCCATAGAATATTTAGATTTTGATTGGAGTAACACTGTTTTCTGTGACGAAAAAACTTTTAAATCCAGTCAACACGGGCGTCTACACCTTTGGCGATTCAATAAACGCGATACACGCAAAATCATGTCGTGCCAAATAGAGAATCGGGTCGTATCTCGGTAAATTTGTATGGATGGATGACTGCTGATGGTGTTGGAGACTTGACCTCATTGATCAGATTATGTTGATGTTCTCCAAAATGCTATGTTGCCATCCGTCCGGAACGTTTATCCAGAAAATGAAATGCGTCAATTTAATTATTTACAGGATAACTGTCCCTTACATAAAGCAAGGGTAACACGTGCTTGGTTTGATGCACATCCGGAAATAAACTTGATACCATGACCTGCAAAATCGCCAGATCTCAACCCTATTGAATATACGTGGGGTCTTATGGTTCAGAGATGGTGTAACCGTAATGAACGAATAGCAGAAGCACTACAAGGGCATTGCAATGAGGTTTGGGAGGAAACACGTGGGTCTGATATTTGCTCAAGACTGGTGGGCTCGATGAGGGAACGTCTCCAAGCTGTTATAGAGGCAGATGGCGGCTACACATGATTTTAAGAATTATAATTTTATAAAAGAATTGTATATATTTTTTAACAACCAAAGAATTAGCTTTTCACTATCTTTTCTAGTTTTAGCCCTTGTCTCGCACTAAGCTATGGGTCGGCGCAATATGTTTTTCGTCGCTATTCATTTCTGTTATCCGTTATCTCAGTATATTCAGACCTATAACACGCATAGCTTCTTACGCATAGCATTTCACTACCTACTGATTTTTTTTATTTGTATTAAAATATAATTAATCTACATTCTAATGTTGGATATTTGTAGACTATAAGACTTTATTTACGATATTCTAACTCTAAAGTATTTAAACATACAAACAGACAGAAAAAAAAATATTTTTGGCTTCTATTAGTCTTATGAAGGCCGTCCATATATTTTTTTCCAAAATATCTTACAAATGTAACCTTGTTACATTTTTATTATAGGTATAGATAATTACTGTCAAAGGTTACGTCAAAATGATGAAGATAGCAATAATGACGTGTACTTGACGTGTCAAAAAATTAATGCTACGGAAAATCAACCTTGTTGTTAGTTGACGTAACACGCGAAATTCAACCTTAGGGTGGTAGACCACTTTCTTGGCCGACTGTACATACTCAGGCGTTTTGAAAACAAATCTTATTTGCTAATCGCCCGTAGATAGCCGCTCGGAGATCATAAAAATTTTATTATTTTAAGAAAAGTTTTTTAATAATTAAGGAACTATCAATGATTTAACAATTCATATTGAATTGTTGAAAAAAAAATGAATATTGTAGTATACCTTGATTATTATGACGTAAATAAGCTCGTAATCGACCCATACTTATAAAAGAACCTGTTCTGATCGATTGACTAATTCATGATCACCGAACATAAATGGATAATATAATAGAATAAGAGTTGTAAACTTAAATGAAAGCCGTCAATTTTAAAGTTAGAAACATGAAAATCTATTTTTGGAAATTAGAAATATGAAACTTCGTATTAGGAGTACTGATTGAAAATTATACGTGCACGACGCGTAGGTACGTGTGTCAATGAAAAACCCGCACGCCATTATACTACGCATTTTTTTTTTTTCATTTGCCGATTCCCTACTTTATTAGAGAAAAAAACATATCTTTTCTCTAATAAACAGAAAGACATGACAATGAACGTTAAATATAAGACATGAAATTCAGTGAAGTAGTTTTTAAGTCGTTTTGTGTTTGACTGTCTGAAGAATAAAGAAAGAAATCTAGAACTGTTTTTTTTCTATACCTACTAAAAATGAAAATAAATATCCTATTATTTTTCAACAACAGCAAGGTAGTTATCGGTATGTCAATAGTTTCAGTTATTTTAAAGCGTATTTTGCAATCGTCAACAATGTTGCTGTGTGAAATAAAACAGATTATTAATAATAATAATAAATATATATGCTTTATTTTACACTACACGCAAATTACTATTTATGTAATACGTGATATCATGACATTAAAAACCTCTATTTGACCCGTTAGATAGTAGGGCATTTAGCCATTAATAATCAGTCCAAACAAAGTTTCACGTATTTAACATCAAAAATTACAGACTTCCATGTAAACTTTCAACCCTTATCGTACTCCAAGAGTAGAATTACCACAATAGCTGAAAATAGTATTTACTCATTTTTAAAATGTAGTCTAAAAAAAAGTTTCTGTTACTTTCATACAAACTTTTAACTTTGGGACTGAACTTCTTCAAACCTTCCGTAGTGAGTATTTTCTCCACAAATGTCTCTACTGACTATAGATCATTGATCAAACTTTAATAGTTTATGCTGGGCGACGATGAATCAGTCATTGAATAAGAAAATATATTATTTGTATTTTTATTATTATGTATCTTCTTACACTCGTAATGTATATTCACTTATTTTTGACAACAAAACACAATTAAATCAATTAACTGATCTTTCTTATAATTTTCAAATTTTCAAATAAAAAATACAAATGCCCAAATAAATCTCCACTAGTAAAATCCCCACTGGGCGGGAATTTTACTTCCGGGAAGCTGCATCATACGCAGCTAACGCTAACGCGCTTACGAAGGATACGCAGATTAAGTTCCAGATAAAGGCTAGTATTGAATAATGAGCTACGATTCAAAATACTTTACCGCGAGTAATCGTCCGTCCCTATACTGAATTGCATTATTTCCCTATATATAATTAAAAAAATAACAAACGTATCTCACCGAGTATTGCCGAGTTGAGCGCTTCGGAGACGTACTCGCGTCTGACGGGCTCCAGCTGCCAGCCGACAGGACTGTCCCAGGGATTACTATACGCCAGTAAACTAAACGCATTCTGGACAACAAACAGGATAGGTTTTTACAAATTCTACATTCTACCATAGACTTTCCTCTCATTATCAATAGAACCAAATATGGAACCGACAGGTCTAATATCGTAAAGAAATAGTTATAGAAACTTACTCAGTAAATAGTAAAATTTCATTACCAAAATCAATACATATTTACAATACATTAATATTCTCTAGGCACTCACCTCTAACATTGATTTATGATAAAGATCCTGTTGCAATTTCTGACTCATCGCGTACAGTTCGCGGCCGAAGGCGAGCATCCGCTCGACGGACGCGCGCGCGCCGCAGCCGTCCGCGTCTGTGACGTCACACACGCACACTTACAACACGTACACGACCCACACTACCACACAATAGGTAGCAAACTGATCCGCATTGACGGAGGAACATAAGGAGTTAGAAATTTTAAACAAAACACAACCAACACAAGCGAGATATTCCTGCGTCAATGCTTACACATTTGTAAAAAAAGTAGTCCAGATAAAAAAAACGGTGTTAAAGTGTGAGAATCGACGCGACCACATTGGTGCGAAAACCAAAACTTAATTTTCTCCCAATATTTATTCACAATGGGAACGACACAAAAATGTAAAAAATTAACATCTTTAAACTAACATTTTCTAATTATCTATTTGTTTTATCACGGAATTTTTGTTATTGTATGTGAATAATACGGTTTCTATGTTGCATATCCAGAAAATTATTAACATGTCCCGTGTATAGTTGACTAAGTCCAGTCGTAAAATTTAATATTCCATTCAAATAAAGGGCTTAATGAACAACTATTTCAAACGGCTAGCTAATTAATTAATATATTTTTTCTTTATAGCTTTAAATACAAATTAGCATTAAGTGTGTATCATCCATAGCCAGGAACGCATGGCAATGTATTGTTACACTAATGTTAAGAAGTATGATAGTTATTTTTCTCATTAATTAATAATAATAAACTCAAGACTAAACAACAATCGCGGGGCGGACTGGTTAGTAATTGTCAACTAACATGTTTTCTTTCAATACTGTAATCAGACTACTAAACTAAGAAAAATTTACATACATATAATGTTGTTTTAATGTTATTACACTCCCACAATTAACTTCTGTAACCTTAGTTGTATAACATATAAGAACGCAGTTTGACAGATTAATCTAAATTGTGAAACATAACTGTCACTGTTGTCTTTAATTGGAATTTTCTAGTACTTAAGGTATTTCTTATACAAATACTCCCTAGTCTGTAACACCACTATGATATATGATTGAAGGAAATATTTTAGAACTCTTACTAACTCCTATTTGATTTATTCCTATTCACGAACTGATTATAAAAATGTCGGTTCAAAAAAGCTGCGGCTACTTTAAAATATGCCTTATAAAAAACAACTATCATAGGCAATTGATTTGAAAAGCTAATGACACTACTTAGAATGGGGGTTATAATAGTTGTCAATTGCCTTTCAATATATGTCTGATTTTAATATGCAATGATCGTTCCTCAAATCAATTGGGTACTCGATTTTTAGACAACAGTTTACGTACTTTTTTCTTATTTCATCTGGTGCTTGCCTACGCTACGATCTCTTGAAAGACGTTATGATTAGAGCAAGCCACTAAAAAGATGTTCAATGACTGAATATTAATATGAAACGCATATGTAGTAGTCACGATCGAATTACTACAATTTTAAAAGCGAATTTAAATGTAGGTAACGTTATGAATTATAGTTTAATATTCTTATTTCTAAATTTTTATTATAATTTAAACTTTACTTTTTCTTCCTCTACATCTTACTAATGTTTTATAAGGGTATTATTCTTCATTAAAGTTTGCGCAGCACAGCGACCTCTACTGTTTATATTTACATTTTTGTGTCGTCTCATTGTACACAAACAGATACAGATCGACGCGTCGAACCGTCCATGCAGTGAGTTAGAGTACCTACCCAGGCCCTGTTTTAAATAAATATAATAAATAACAATACTATAATAAATTACGCAATGATATTATAAAAAGCGATACAAGTCGACAACTCGAACACCGCATCACATGCCCACTATTGTTATAAGCACGGATCTGTCAAAGAACAGCACTGGCCACGATGACGAACAACAATCGACTCTATGTACATGTAAACAAGGTAAACAATCCGGAAGTGACGATTCAAATTGTTCTTAACAATATTCTCATGTAAATAGAGTCTAGTTTATAATGTCACCGCAGCTGCGGGGCGCTATGCCTTTTGAGATCCATCGAACCCCCCCATGTGTAGACGTTACCCGCACCCATCCCTCACCGTCCATGCATATTTATTACGGTTTATTTATAAAAAATGGACGTCGACCATGCATTATTCTCGATTACATACATACGACACCTCGGTTATCGATTTCGGAACGAACCAAAATTAAATCATGCACACGAATTCGTCAAAAATATGGTCTCGAACTGAGAAACTAGGTGTCGGATCGTAGCGAGGGATCGATACTTACCGAACGGCGGCGACCGCTAAATGGAAACAACTACATCACAACGTACCTTTCGTCGCTCGACCGAGTCGAATAGAGATCGAAGGGTATCGAACATCATCGGAAGGGACGCCGACAATGATTATTCGATCGGTACACATCGATGCGATAGAAATAACAAAATTCGATCGTTTCGCGGGAAGTCTGGATGGGACTCGGTTTCTCCAAACACGATCGTCGAGGCGCCGCGGTGTAGCGGTGTACTGGTCTAGTGTATACTCACCGCGGTGGCGGCGGGCGAGTGTATACGCACCGGGCAGCAGCGCGGCCAGGCAGCTGGTCACGCCGGGCATGCCCTTCACCAGCGGCAGCGCCACACCTACAACCACGACCACGCGCGTCACCCACCCCGCCCCGCCCCGCCCCGCCCCACCCCGCACACCGTCACAGCGACTAGCGCGGCCGGTCTAAACCAATGGTTCCCAAACCTATTTCGACTCCTGCCCACTTTGAGAATAAACAATTTTTAAAGCGCCCCCATTTTTTAATGTACTTAGATGAAAACCACTACTACTTCAAATTACATTAATTATTGGCGGAAATTAAAACGTCATTCTAAACAAGACTTTTAAACGGAGCGACCGATCGACATGAAATTTATTTTATTTATTCAATAAAACAGGACAGATATGCATATATAAATTACACGGAGAGAAATATAGAACCGAGTTATTATGGGCAATCTCTTAATTAATATTATTAGTTGATGTTCACAACATGTAATCGATAGTCAAAAGCTCAATCAGTGTCAAAGAGTCCCCGTATATGAATTTACAAATAGCCCCCCTAAGCCTCTACACAACGCCCCCATTTTTCTTCTGAGTATCACGTCCCCTTTAGGCCTGCGGCGCCCACAAGGGAGCGTTATTGCCCATTTGGGAAGGGCTGATTTAAACTGACGGCCGTCTGAAAGCTACTTGGGCATGTCGAGTCGCTTCAAAAAATCTACCCGAACTAGGTGTATTTGAACTGGCATTTTAACGTTATCGTTTGTGTTCGCGTTAAATTATGAATATTCTTGAACGAGTTTAAAAATGTCACGACTTAATCGCAGATCGATCATCAACAACCGACCCTGATAGAATCTATTTGAATAGATTTTTTTCAAAACCCGTGCGCCTTAACGTCGTTGCTGTCATTTAAATGTCATTAGCTGTCGTTTTACATAATGACGTCATCGTTTTTCTTGTTTCGATTGCAAGTCCCGTGCCTCATGGTTTAAAAATCATTATTTCAAAATGGATTGACAAAATGAATGGATCTTAATGTTGTTTTAGCTTCTGCATCGAAAAAATTTGTGACTTCAGATCATATATATATTTTTCGTCTACAATCAACTCGCAGATTATTTTAATATCGGTCCAAATCGACCGCCGATCGCCCTCACAGTACGACGTCTACTGATTATGTGGCGCTTCCAAACAGACGGCAAAACCGTTTCCGACAACAACAATCCGACCGCGCAGTCCCTGTGACAGTATATACCATAACGTGCCTTCTTACAAGTCTTCGACGATGCTATGACACCGAATCTGGAATATCTAAACCGATCAAAGGATCGCTTCTTACAGAGACGAGAAAAGTTAAACTTCGGTCCATAAGATCGTTCGAAACTCGGCGACTTGTAAGCACGCCGCCTTGCGTAAGCGATGACGCAAACTTAAACCAAATTATAATATGCGACTAGTGCCGGCGATTGATTGCGAGACTAATGTACCATGAGCTGTGAGTAAAGAAGCCCAATCAAGGAGATAAACTACGTACATGCATGCGTAAGTTACTTTCGAATTAGCCGTATAATAAAGTTAGTTGCAAACATTACCTTCGTGCGTGTCTAAACGACGACCAGATCTCTCATTATGAAGTTATATACCAAAGCCAATCAACAGACCAAGCTTAATGATACACTGCTTTCTCGTTTCAACAAGCGGACTCGCTCTGCATTTTCGCCGCATTTTCAGTATAATATATCCGTACTCAAAAGATTTATTCATTATTCATTATTCATTCATTGTTCAAAAGCAACCAGCCTAAATTATAACATAGTTGCATTTCATTAGCATACCGATAATCTGATTACTCAGAGACCATAAAGTACAATAATTAGTACCGGCAAATGGTCGTCGACATTGCCGTTTCATTATTTTATTTTTCAAACACCTCCATCACCAAATATATCATATACATATAATGAAAACTTGAAGATTTCCGGGTTCATTATCCTGACGACCAATGTTAGCTGGATATTATACCGTATTAGTTACAAAATAAGGACTTTTCAACCTAATTTCATGTCAAAAACCCATACATACTTCCCATATTAACAAATTAACCAACTAAATTGTTATAATACAAAACCCATGCAGAAATTAATAAAGCGACAACGCAAACAATACATAATAATGATCAGAAATAAAAGGAAAAATGTATCTAAAGAAAGTCGATGTGTTAAATAAATTATAGAATATGAATGGTGTGCAAATAATAAATAAACATTAAACAATAACATTTACCAAATATTACATAAAATTAATAGAGACGTGTAATTTCATAATATAACCTGGCGTATAGTTTACAATTATATTTTTTTATGATATTGCCAATCGATAAATATAAAATTTATAAGATTATACATGTTCATACTATAATGATAAATAATATAATAATTATTGTATAATAACACACTCTTTCGTTTTACGCTCACAGACACGGTTCGTATACGGGAATCGAACCCGGTCGACAGTTTCAAATACGTAAGTGTTTCTTCATATTTCGATTTTATTATTTATTATATGTTTTTCAAATCGAATCTGTAAGAACGACGCAAAGTAGCATATCTGTTTCGACAAATTGTCTACGGTGGTCGAGGAATATTAAAATAGGGATGATGATGATTAGATAAAAAAGAAATATGTATATATATTTAGTCCGTCAGTCAGATATTAGAAAAATATACGTGTTTTATATTTTTAATATTATGTTTCAATAATCTACCTTATAGACAGACAAACTAAAATTAGTCCTCATATCCCTGTTTTAAATTCAGTTTATCAATTTTCTAGGTTAAGAAAAATTATTATAATATTTTTAATGGCATAGTAGAACAAATAGGAACTGTTTAAGACGTACCTAAAAAGAGTCCAATAGCCTATTCGTGTGCCAGAGGGCGTCTTCGGTGGATACAGTTCGAATCCTGATCTATCTATACTAATATTATAACGAGGAGAGATTTGATTGTCTGTTTGTTTGTTTGGTTGCAACGAAGAGGCTAAAAATCTACTGGACCCATTTAAAAAAATCTTTCACCTACGGGTCGGTACATGATATGCGGTGATCATAGGATATATTTATAGGATGTATTAAAATGTTACCATAGTAACATTGTAATGTAATCGATATACAAGTGTACAGTTCCCCGGGATCGCGCAGTGGTATATATGGCGTACCTTCATGGTCCCCGTTGGCGGCGGCGGGCGCCATGTCCACGTCGGCCGACTCGCCCGCGCCGCTCACTCCTGCATCACACGGTGTGACTCATTCATTCACTTTTTTAAATTTACCATTTATACTTGTTATATTTCTTTCAAGGAAAAAGAATGAAATTCTTTGACTGCAGGTTATTTGATATTGTTGTTTTTAGACGTTATAATTCAATGGTGATGTTATTTTCTCCTGCTTAAAAAAGTCTAGCATTAAGTTTATTGTACATTTTCTGAAAATATTTTTAACGCAATAATTAATTGCATAGTGCACTCCATACAGAAAGAGCGGCCGTTTAGCGTAGAAGCGAGCAACAACATTTTTGACATTCTCTCAGATCATATCACATTTTCTTGACACACATTTCAATCTTTTTTTTTAATGTCTCATGAACCCGGTGTCAAGTAGTTTTGCTAAACCATACATAATTTTGACGAGTTTATCTCTTTACTTTAAACTCAACACAGAGACAAATAAATCTATAATACATTTATGGTGATCTTGTTTAGTGTTACTCAATATTTGCATGCGTAGGTACATCAAATATAGTCATATATAAGAGTGTAGTGTAGTGTAGTATAGTGTAAGGTAGGGTAGGGTAGGTAGGGTAGGATATGATAGGGTAGGGTAGTGAGTGTGGTGTGGTGTGGTCTGGTGTAGTGTAGTTAGTGGTAGTGTACCGTTGACGTCTGCCCGGCTGGTGTGCGATATGACGGAGGTGGCGACGCCGTTGCTGCCCGCCTTGTCCGCGCCCGCCCCCGCCCCCGCCCCCGCCGCGCCCCCCTCCGCCGCGCCCGCCTGTGCATTGCAACACGTCACATCGTCTAACAACGTTACATCAACCACTCGTACGAACTAACATGACACCTGAAGGCCTATTCTATATCACCGAATAACGAAATCTTGTCTATTTCCGAAATTCTAATAAGTCTTCCGTAGAAACGCATTTTTCGATAATCTCATGATGGAACCGAGGTAGGAACAGACCCTACCGCCTATGTAAAGATAATCTTCGCAGAATTTCCCGATATTCGGAAGAGTTGAGTTCCAAAATAAAAATGTATAATCCAAACATAAAAGTTATCATATATAGACTGACCTCGGCGTCGGACCCGTTGACCATCTCGACGAACTGTCGGCACTTGAGCAGGAACAGCAGGTCGGCGTCGCGCTCCAGCAGGCCGGGGTACAGGCGCCGCGTCGCCTCGATGGCCTCGCCGATGCGCCCCGACAGTACCAGCTTGGACACGCCTGCCGCACATCGTACACCTCTATAGTCTATATACTCTGTATACTCTGTCTCTGGCGGACGTTTCCCCTTTTTTTATACGTATAAGCTTTGTGACGTTGAATATGACATGGACATTAATTTGAGTACCTGGGGATTAGTGCAGTAGTCTGTGTGTAAACGTAAGATGAATGACATGAGTCTGTGTCATAGGAGGAAGCCATTTATAGATGAAGTTTAGATATGCGCCTGACTGACTGATGTGCGCCGACAAAATAAAAAACCGAGCAGACATTGTTGTTGGCGCATGCGCGTACATCCCCTGCGCCCGCGCCCTTGTTACCCCTGCTGCCTTATTTTATTCATAACTAATGTGACAATGCGAATGTTATAATTATCTTGTAATTGCAACAAGTTTACATTTCATTTTGAAAATTTTACATACCGTTTTTTTTTCATATATGTGATCTATTAACGATACCTAATGCCTAGAAAAAATTTGGAGAGTCATTTTAAATGCAGTCGGTATACGTTTACGTCGTCAATCAAAATTAAGAATTTTGTTTTTTATTTGGAGACGAAGTAGTCTGTCGACTATTTCAGGGAGACCGAAGCTAAACAGAAATCTAGAATGATATCAACAGCATAGCGGATAGTCGTAATAGAGAATATACTGACGTTGTCTGTTCTTTATGGAGGCGATGTCCTCGTGTATGGGCTGCGAGGTGGCGCGCGAGAACGCCTGCGCCGTGCTGCAGTAGCCATGGTGCACCAGGTACGTGGACACCATCCTGGGGGACAACACATCGTCAGTACCCTGCACACAGTACCCTGCACACAGTACCCTGCACACCTGCAGGCGGTACGGCGCGCCATACCTGTGCAACACTTGCTGCCACTGGCCCTGGTCGGGCAGCGGGAACTCGTCGATGGCTAGCCTGGTGCGGGCGCGCAACTCCCGCAGCATGTCCTCTATGTCGAACACGAACGGCTGCTGACCGAAATTAGCGTCCACCACCTCTCCCGGCGTCTGCAGGCCCACCGTCGGGTATAGATTGGGCTGCCGAACGGACATTTGAAATTCTAAATAAATACGTTCGTTGAACTTAATTGAAGAAATAAATTGCGTATAAATGGCAGAGAGATTATGCGCGAAATGAACGTAAAAGTCAATTTACAAAAAATTATAAGACCGCCGTATAACGTAAAATATATATATATATAAAACGAGTTCCTTAAAGATATTAATGGGCTTGGCTTTCTCAATCGTAGGTAGTGTATTCCACAAACCACGAACCGTTTTTAAAACCTTTATGGATTATCAACTGATAGACTAGTTTATGCGTGAACGTAAATTACAAGCGTCGCTTGAACAGTTCACCGCGGCACGGTCTGCGAGGTGACTTTAATTCTCTCTGTTCTTCGCGACCGACAGCGTGCTGTCTGTCTCGCTCGCTCGATTACGTTAAAATATTTTAAAAATAAACTTTAACCTAATGTTTATTTTTCAAATGTTTAATGCAAATAGTGCAGGTCAAGGTTAAATTATGCGAGTAGCATCCTACTTTTAAATTTTCTTCGATTGTGTTATCACCAGTATGAATAAAAGCAAATAACCATCTCAATTTATAATTAGGTATTTGTAAATAAACATTTCTGAGCTTTAACAATAAAGAGTATGAAAGGAAGTTAATTTTCACCGTCCACAAATTTACTGAACAAAGTTGTCTAAACAGTTTGTTCTGAATACCGTTTCATGAACTACGTCAACTAAACTAGTTACTTCGACACAATATCTTGTTCCATTCAGACTTTCTACGAAAGATAAGTTCGAAGAATGTCGAACCCACCCCCATTTCCGAATTCCATACCCAGTCTTATATCATCCGTTATGTAGATAAGGGCAATGGTAGTGCTGTGACCTGGCCGGAAATCTGATTGGTATGGATTCATGAGCTTGTTCTCATTCAGGAAAATATTAATTTGGTTATGGACAAGACGCTCAAGGACTTTGGATAGAAATGGAAGCATAGGGTTTGGACAATAATCAAATAGTGATGTGGGATACCCCAGTTGAAATGGAATTATTAAATATGTAGGTGATCACAGAAAGAATTTCACCGAGTACAGGGATTAACATTTTCTGGCTGACACAGTTCCTGCCTTCGGCATTAGACGTTATTGACAAAACGCTCTTTTTAACTAACTTATTAATAATCAGTAATAATGTTTGAATGATAATAAAATCTGTATAAATAATCCAATGAATAAGAAGAAAGAGCTTTACAAGTTTCATGAGTTTTTATATTTTTTCATCAGCTGGAAGTTTTCCAAATACTGTAAAATAAAAATAAAATAAAAAGGAATCGCTCAATGAACAAGAGACAAATATGTCATTATTCTAGATAAACATGGACGATACATGAACATAAAGAAGAAAGAGTGTATTGTACCGGCAATCCCCTGAACGCGATGCCTAGATGGTGACCGTTCTTAGTGTAGAAGCAGGTGTTGTCTACGAGGTTGACGCCGCATCCTATCACATCGCCGGTGGTGAAGGTGGGCCCGTACGGCTGACCGGTGCCGGACGAACAGAACGAATGACCGTCGTCGCCATGATACCCATATGAGTGTTTATCCCAACCTAGATAACAATACACATTCTATTATATATGTATGTATTTTAGCATTAGCAATATAAAACATGTCCCAAATCGATTGAATTCTCGGCCTGTTTTACTATACACCAAAGCAAAATTTATAACAGTTTTAGCTATACGATCTCTTTCTTGTAGTGGAATATGTTTGTTGTACATTTATATTTATGTTGATACATTTATATGTCAATCTAAATAGACAAACATTTAGCCGTCATGTTGAATGGCAGCATGCAAATTAACGGAAATATTTGACGACCTCCTTAGCCGAGTGGTTCGCACGCCGGTTTCAAGGTGTCGCCATCTCTGAGGTCCCGGGTTCGATTCCCGGTCGGGTCAATGTAGAAAATGAACTTTTCTATATTGACTTGGGTCTGGGTGTTGTGGTACCTTCGTTGTCTCAGATACTCCATAATACGGGGGCTTTAGCTACTCATCTTGGAATCTGAGCAATGTATGTGATGTTGTTGAATATTTATTTATTTATTTATTATATAAGCAATAGGCTGTGAAAATAATTCAGTTTATAATCTGTTTCGTTAGATTAGGCACTATATAAAGTTTTATATTTACGTGAGATTAGATTGGACAATTCTTCTTCGTTATAAATAAATAAACTACTATAAAGACGTAAAGACGTATATCTATAAAGACGTCTTTATAGTAGTTTAAAAACATCAAAAAAGTTTGACTTCACTTTGAAAATGCTGAATATTTATGTTATAGTTGAATAAAGTCCCATTTTCTTTTCCCGTGATTTTTTATTTGTAAATAAAATAATTGAAAACATAAATTAAGTTCGAGAATATCGCTTTTCTGTATAAAAATTAAATCAAGTTTTGTTTACGATAATTCCAAAATCCTCCTAACATGGTAAAACTTTTTTTTTTTGCAAGAATTGATTCGAAAATATGCCGCGAGATTATCCGAAGTGGAACGTGCAAGAATTGTTATTTTGAGTCTCAATCTCAACCCTGTGTAGTGAACATGATTTGTGGGTATCGGTAGCAAGATGTTTGGAAACCATCAGCCACCCACCCCCTCAGACAGTGTCAGAGATCAGGAAAGCCACTATTGAAATACAAGATAACTTAATTCTCTGCATTACCAGATGGATCGCAGTATGTATTCAAGCCAAGGAAGCTGTCTTGTGCTAAATAAACTTAATTAAAAAAATACTATTTTTGTCAAATCCTCTTTTTCTTTCAATTATTTTCGGCCTACAATAAGAATGACGACTGGGTAAAAAAAAAAGAAATACTTTTTAGTACAAGCATTAAAGTTGAGTGAGTGGGGGCTCGCTACGTCAGTTTTGTAGAAAATGTACAGAAGTGTGAAGTGACATTTTATCTCGATGTAAAAAAAAATACGCGTGTAATATTTTTCAACAATCTAACTTTTGACAAACAAAAAAACATATTCGTCATCGCTACTGCATTAATAAATTCAATTAACGTTATTAAAACATGAAAAAAATATATATATCAAAATGTGTAATTTAAAATTTGTAAGACGTTATATGACCATTTTTCTATTAAGAAATGAAATTTAAGATAATATACCATCTTTTTTTGGTAGCGTTCTCGGTCAAACATTTTTTATTGTGTGTATGTAAAGATCACGACTTGTTAGCTCAGTACATTACGCCTAACAGCAATAGGGAGAGCTCACCAGGTAGGCGGTTCATATTGACGCCGTGTGCTGACAGCCCGATGCCCATGTAACCGTCACGACCTTTGGAGACAATGCGCACTTCGAAGTAATATAGGCCGCACGACGCAGGTATCGGGTGCGTCGCCCGCACGCTCGCGGCGTCTTTGTGTGTTTTCCCATGTCCTGAAGATTGTACAAAAACGAACATTGTAATACTGTTGGAACGCAATTAACATCAGATGTGCACAAGCTGTACAAAATCTTTGGAAAAACAAAGCATTACGCTACAGAAGAAGGGGATTAATATTTGCGAAAGTTTGCAAGACCTTGTTAATTAAAATAAATGAATAATATGCACATTAGAAAAAACGGTAATATAATTAAAACTCATGCTTGTTTACATCTTAAGTGGGTAACTACTGTATATGATATCGTGCATTCACTCAACATTTACCGCTTAGGCATTTCATTATACATAACCTTATATCTATTTTATACATGTATAAATATTTTTAAAGAATAAAAAACCAAAATATATGTATAAGTTTTTTTATTCAGCAGTGGCGTTACGGTAAATCGTTAAATGCGCCCTTCAGCGGAGGTCGGGTCTACATTGCGGCAAACAATCCAGACGAAATAACCCACGCGCTCATCCTACGGGACCCCGACCGACGCATACATACACGTCTCTTCTAGCCCGTGACGATTTCCAATAGTATAATCATAACATCGAGTCTCAAACAAACACAATCCGAATTAAACAATACTATTTCCAAATGCGAAAGAGAAACAAAATACCTACACACTCGCTATTATAAGAAGTCGCAGACGTTTTCGAGAAGTCTAATAAAGTTAATCAAATAGACGCCACGAATGTTTTCCATGCGACATTCGAGAAAAGATATCATATTCTGGAAACACCAACGCGCGATTGAAATCGAGCCAACTGTTCACAGCGGATATCACAACTAGAAAACTTCCGAGCAAGGTCGACTGTGTTGACGACCTCTAGCCACCTACGAAAAAAACATCACCAAAACATACACAACACTATTATTATTACGTACTTTCAACGTGATAATGTTTCGATCGAGAGAATATAGAATTATCAAACATAATATAATCTAACGTAGAAATCCAAACTCAAATTGTAGGCAATAAAGTTGTTAGTCGTTTATAACATCGTCCAACGTCACAAGCGCAAGACGATTAGTCTATCACAAGGACAGCCATTCGAAAGAGACTACGTTATATTTTGATACGCAGAACATTACAGAAATCCAATACAGCTTAAATCGTGTTCGATAAAATCAAAGAATATGTGAATATAGTTACGAAAATGAATTCGTCATAGATTATTATAACAAAGACATAAGAAGAAAACGTAAACATGAAACAAAGTGTGTTTCCCACAAATCTGGTTGGCGTGTGTGCGCGTCGGCCGGTACGCGGCAGGTGAACGACTCATCAGTTAGCATAACAACACCAGATAAACGACCGTGGGTGGATCGAGACAACCATCATCTAATGGACAATAAAAGGGCACAGTTGTCGCTATAAGTACACTGATTGGTGCCCTAAAACGTGGAGTTTTTTAATTGGCATTAGACGTAAACTCGACGAATTAATAGAGGTTCTAAAAGCACAAAGCTCTTTTAAAAACAATTTGATTTCTTCCACTTTAGTTTTATTATGTAACAGATAACAAAATATAATAGTAAACAAAGACTACGTTCGGCCTCTATATGATATTCTAGATAATGCTCGAATGTGACCCGTTGACGCAACATCAATCATCACCGTGACACCGATAAAAACAACGATGCAATTTTTTTTCTGCAAACTGCCATATACTTGTGGAAATGTTACATGATAACATTGACTTTCTTTAAAATTACTTATTTGATCGATCGAATTATTTGAGTTTGTTAATATGTTAATTAATTGAACAGCGCGAGTTTTAAGATAGCGTCTTTATCCGTTACGTGGGTGGTTTAGAAAGAGTTAAAAGGCTAATAGACGAAGCCCAAAAAGCGACTAACAAATAAAACACTGCAAATATTGAGTCGCTAATCATTGTCAAAACATAGTTGCAGACACTAAAAGCTAAAAATATAAATATGAGATGACGGTTCATCGGCCCCTGCACCCAGCAGACTTGACCTTCGGTACCGTGGAAAATGTTGACTCATCAATCATAATGGATCCAACCGTGACTACGTAACTTTGCTACATTTCTACCACATAATGCTACCGCTGATATTCACTGTGTACCTTCTTGTATACAGAGAATAAGTTGCTAGGTGCATCGCTTACGTTTTTCAACAGCAATTATCAAAAGGGGGTAAGATGCAATCGTTTTCAGACATTATCGAGTATAACTCGATATCTACCTGTTTGGGGTTAAGTCAAATACAAATAATACATTAATGGCGGAGAATTTGATAACATCATCAATGTAAAAACATCACGTCCACATAAACGACATTTACGAACATTATAAACTGAGAGAATAAACAAAATTTACCTTTATTTGATTTGGCAAAATTAATATCAAGTTGTCAGTCAACAAGTAATGAAATGCCTCGCGTTTCCATCGGCCGATACTTGAACGTTAACATAATACACCTACGCCCCTGAGAAACAAGGTGACATTTGTATCAATATTTTGTTAAAATTAAGGTTATTTTGCTAGTTTCAGATAAGGGTTTATCGATATCGATTTTCCCCATTGCAAATAAACATTCGTATAATGTATACCAAAGTAGTTCTCTTATCGAGAGTAACAAAAATACAAGGCTTCCCAAACGATTCAATTGAAAAGAAATATAACAGCACTATAAAACATTATAGCTGAAATATTTTTCCGGTACACCAGATGCCTTTGTTGGCACGACGGACTCGAACAATGCGGAGTAATAGAAAACAGTACGTATTTACACTGTATAGACTAAATTAGCCCCAATCATTACTGGACCAATGCTCTCTGCACCTGCACACAGACCCGGCTTAAGGAGGAACGAGCGTCTCACACTTATCTGACACACACAGTTGAAACATTTAAAACCAAAACAATGTTCATATTAGAAAACAGAATTAACATCACCACTCTTGGAATTGTTATTTGCAACGAATGTTATATGAAGAAGGTTTAATAACACCCTAAAAGAAATTGAATACAAAGTGAGAAAACTTAATACAGCCCTGGCTGCGTGACTGCGCGTGCTCAACACGGAAACGCATCACGCCAGAACTGACTCACTCGTTCATCTTAGCAAATGCGTTATAATATCAATAACACATACGACTGAATAAATGCTAAAAATATACGATAGATAGTTATGAAAAGACAAGCAGGGATTTCAATATTATTAAATTAATTACAAGAACACTTATAAAATACTAATGTGCACAAGAAAGCATGCCATTAAAAACTATGCACATCCATATATTGCAATTAGAAGGATTGTTAATAAGAGTGTAAAAACATAAGCTACTAAATATTGTAGAAAAAATAGGTATCACACGTGTTGAAACGGATACCAAATTTGAATGTGTTTCGCGAGTAGAAACTGTTATCGTCAAGTAGTGCAATGTCAACAGATGGACTCACTGAGCAAGATGTACTCACTATATGGAAGTTGCGACTTACACATTGAAGCCAGCACCGATTCATATCACGAAATACAATCAAAGTAAAGAGAGACTAATAGATAGGCAAACAAACGATATCACATTTGGAAAAATTTCTTCGTACACTTACAAAATTCAATGCCAATAAACAAAGCATCGATCGTTCGTAACGTAAATCATCAAAGTGAAAACTGATGATGACCTACGAAACAAACTCCCAATGTTTATTTTAAGAAACCACGGTACCATCGTCACGCTATACGCAAGTACCCTCATAACCGTTCTTTATTATTCATGGGGTGTGCTGACGTCGGAGGTAATCGGAACGGTAACTGGTACTTTGTTTATTAGCATGGTGCGTGTTATAAAGTAAGGGTATAGGATAGCCGAGTGTTGTGTTGACACGTACGATACATCCAGAGGCGTAAGTGGAGGTAGGGCAGGTGGGGTCGGCGGCCCGGGCCCTGCGTCCCACCTTACAACAAATAGAGAAAACAACCGGTCCATTAAACAGATCCACAGGCGAACCCCATACACCACTTACGCGTCTGGCTGCTCGCAGAACTATCTTCGCTAAGTTCCCGTATGGCTTCGGTACAAACGTGCCGCATTATTTACGCTGAGCGGTCACGGGGCGGCACTGTCTGGTGACAAACTTCCGTCGATGGAAAGCCGCAGCATCTCTGAAGGAATGCTTTAGTGAACACGCCATGCAAATCCTGACTACCGGCATACGAGCGTTTAGAGCATAGTGGTGCTATGGAGCCGCGTACTAAATATGCTAATTGCTATAATTACAACTTAAGCCTATTACAATAATATTGGCTTACAATATATTGACAGATTTTATAGTTATTCTCTATAACGCTAGTTTGTCAACAACAACAACCAAAAGAAAAACAACTAACAAAATTGCCGAAGGTCTCTTCTTCCACATTAATGGCGACATTTGTATTAATATTTTGTAATATAACTAATATGACATTTTGTACTGAAATTAAGATTACAAAAGAGCCTATTTATAACTTGACAAAAATATATATTGATTACCTTAACCCACAATTAAGCAGATGAATACTGAAATTAATGTATTGCCAGACTAATTCCACGACACACGTTCTATCATCATGTCATACTCGTATTAAATACATATATCGCACGTTGAGAATGACAATGTCACTAACCAAAAACGACGTATTTTTTACTTTTGGCAACATTTTTCTTTGTTAAGTATAAACTTTAAAATGCAAAGATCCCAGTGAACGTAGCTTGCATAGAAACTGCTAGGTGGCCTAGGGACGATACGTTGTTTAGAGGGGCTGATTACAATTTCTTGAACTTTAAACGCTCATTACTCAAAATCGCATTTTTTGCATTGTGCCACTATCGTTCTCAACGTGCGATATGCATCGTACACTATGGCGGCCATTGATGATCGAATGGTTGGACCGTCGCTACCATAATTATATGATTGTAATAAATAAACGCGCTGTGCGTTTAGAATTATGCAATATTTTGTAGTGTGGACTGAGGCAATAGCCCCAGTAGCA